TTTTTTTCAGAGAGAGAGGAAGGAAGAGGGAGAGTGAGAGTGAGAAACATCAATGATGAGTGAGTCATTGACTGGCTGTCTCCTGCATGCCCATGCCCCATCCACCCCCTCACTGGGGATTGAGCCTGCAATCCAGGCAGGTGCCCTGACCGGGAATCGAACTACAATCTCCTGGATCATAGGTCGATGCTTAACTGCTGAGCCACGCCGACCAGGCTCTCTCTCATACATCCATCTTTCTCCATTTCCACTGTCACTGCCCTAGTTCAAAATATCTCTTCCAGGACTAATGCAGCAGCCTCCAACCTGTCCCCCTCACATAGAGTACTGACCCCTTCCCAGGGACCTCTTTTACTTTTCCAGTGCTTTTAAGTATAAATTTAGCCATATTTTTCCTAATATTTAAAAACAAACCAAAGCTGAAGTCTAAACTCTTTCCCATGACTTGAAGACCTTAGGTAATCTAGCCCTTGCCTACCTCTAGTCTTAATTTACAATTTTCTCACTCCTAAATGTTCTCTGTCCAAGCTACACCTCTGCCTTTTTCGGATCCTTCAAGTGGCTTACTGTCTCAGAGACTTGCACATACTGTTCTCTTTACTTGCAATGCACTCCCTTCTCCTCCTTTTTGATTAGCACAGTGGTTCCCAAGTGCCAGCCTAACTACATCAGTCATCCAGGAGCATTCCCTTTTACAGCAGAGTCCTGGTCCCTATCGAAGACATACTGGGTCAAATTTCTAGGAGAGCAACCCAGAAACACATCTTCTTAAAAGCACCCCATCATTCTGATGGGAAGCCAGGTTTGGGAATAACTGCTAGTCAACTTTCAGGTCTCAGCTTTAAGCTCACTTCCTCAGAAAGCCAATACACTAAATTTGGCCCCACTATGAATATTTTCATAGCTACCTGTATTTCTCTTGCACATACTTAATAATCTAACTTCTCCCAAATAATACGAGTTTTATAATGTAATTTTTTGTTTAGAATGTTTGGTCATGCAAGGCTTTTCAATAAGAGTTTTACATAAACTATAAAACATACTCTAGCAGTTACAGAATTTGCTAATATAAGCAAGGAATACTTTCTGAAAGCCTGTATTAAATAAAGACAAGTAAGTTCAATGTTTGAAGTACAGAATTACTCAGTTTAAGAGCTTCACTGGTGATGGATGTACTGAGGGAATCTCAAGTGCCCTAAACAGGACTGCCCTGAGGTAGGTCATTACTTATAAAACCAAGGAGCCTCGTACCATGAGCTTGACTCACCTTCTGTAGTTTTTTAAAGGACGATGCCTTCATGTTTTCTGACAATTTAACTGAAAAATACTATTAATTTTATTAAGGAAAAAGCAATTAAGATAAAAAAGGTAACCTTCTAAATTCATGTGTAATTTTAAAAACAAGGTTAGAATATGTGGAAATGTTTAGGAAAACGGAAATTAATATTTTGTTCTAAAACTTCCAGTTCTACCATACCACGCCAGTGGCACCATCATGTCCAAAGCAAAGTACCTCGATACTGCAGCACTTATCCAAATGGCAATCATTTCTAAAACCTTCCCAAAATTACCTATCCCTACAATACAGGGGTGCGCAAAGTAGGTTTACAGCTGTGAGTATGCAAAACACAGTTTATTCTTGTATTATTATTTATTAATTACTGAATTTTCCATACAAACTGTAAACCTCCTTTTGCCCACCCCTGTCTATATAGAAATATTCTCCTCTCTTGATTACCCTTTATGGTCTGAAGCAACAAGTTTAACTTAATTCTTAGCTCCATAAAAAGCAAATAGTAACCTTTCAATGAGATCACTACATCTTCCAATTAAAAAGGATACAAAATCTCTAAGTTGTCCAAATATTTCATCCACTTTTCCAATTTGTTCTTTGTTTTCTAAATACACTGGAGCATTGAAATAAGGCACCTTATTTTCATCTGTGGTACATTTACAAACTATGTCATCTTCACAGGGATGCAGGAACTCTCCTAATACTGAAATAGGACAAGAAAACATTAAAATATAAAACAATTTCAAATTATATTTACCAACCTCTTCTGGAAGCTTTCTTCTGGGCTACCTGGGATTTCACCATATCTGTTCTTCTGAGGCACAAAAGCCTTCCGGAGTTGGTATACCAATCCACACATACTAGCAATGTGACCTGGAGTCAGGGTCTCATCTTCTCTTTGCCTCAGTGTCCTCATCTTTAACATAGGGCTAATAACAGTTTCCAACACTTACCACATAGTATTGTGAATATTAAGTGCAATATTAAATGTCAACTGCTTAGAAAAGTGCCTGGCACACTGAGACCCCCTCAACCTAGAACAGTGATTCTATTACAATAGTAAGTATTATTATTTGATTAAACACTATGTTGCATTTTACTCTCTATTATTCCTTCTCCCCAACCCCTAACTGTAAAATCAGTCTTAGTTATGTCTTTTCTTCCTCCCCTTTTATACCTTCCCACTACTACCTCTTCACCAGCGACTCCTCAATCTTTTCCAGAAAAGTGTGAAATCTCAAAATAACTGCCTTTATTTCTAATTGACGGTCACCCCAAACTAAAATACTCATCACATCGCTGCAAAACCAGCTCTCCATCTCTATCAACCAGGCTCGAAACCTGGAACCTTTTAACAATTCCCAGTATTAGCCAAGTTCTACTGAGTAGTTTCCATTGAAATCTCTCTCCCATTTAACCCTTCCTCTTTCTTCTCACTTCCACCCTGCTCTCAAGGCTTCCCTCATGGGTGGACTGCTGAAATGGCTTCTGGGCTAGGACCTCTGACTCTAGCCAAACCACCCTGCATACTGACCCAACCTATTCTTCATATTAGACTGTATTCACTATCAAATCTCTGTCTCACTTCCCATGACTTCCATCCCACCTCATCAATAATTACTCCAAAACTCCTCTAATTTGGTCTTTTTCTTAACTCCTCCCCTCTGTAGTTTCCCTCCCGAGCGGTATTTTTTTCTCACTTCTGGGCTTTGGAGTCAGAAAACTTGCTTTGTATCTCAAGTGTATCATTTGCTGATTGATCACTTATTCCTAACTATGGCCCTAGAAAAAGAAACAGCTCTGAATCACAGTTTTCTCACCTGTAAAATGGGGACAATAGGGATAAGCATAAAATATTACCTATTTAATGCCCTCCTTTCAGCCCAAGCTCAAGTTCCACCTCCATGATGCATTCTAAGTGTCTAAGTGTCTTTCAGCTTGCTTAATCTCCCCCTTACATGCTAGGGCATGATTTTAAGTCAGTTTACAGCATCTTCACAGACTTTACTCCGCAACCAAGCAGCAACCTCCGTATTTTGTTGCTGTATCTAATTTACAGCACCTGACTCCCAAACTTACTAACACCACAAACCCACAACCTCCGCGCCCCCCC